ATCCCTAGTCCAGGCCTCCAGAGATCAGTCCCCAAACTGTCTCACCCATCTGCAATCTAACCTCTATGCTACTGACAAAGGACTCTTTCCAGAACTCAAATTCAAAATCACATCCTGGCTCAAAACCCTTCAATGACCAAACTCCATCACACAACTTACACCTCCTGCCTCAGTGCTACAGTTTGGATTTCCCCAAAGGCCCATGAAATAAAGGTTTGATCCATGGGTGAGGATGGATGGCACTATTGAAAGGTGGTGGAAACTTTACTAGGTGGGACTAGTAGAAAGAAAGTGAGTCAAAAGAAGGTGCCACCACAGGGGATGTTCGAACTCTCTTTTTGCTCCCCAGCTGCCATGAGGCAAACAGATCTCCATACCATATGCTTCTGCTGTGATGTACTGTGCCATCACAGGCCAAAGCAACAAGGCCAAGTGACCATGAACTGAAACTATGAAACTTTGCTCCTTATAATTTGTCTCACTCAGGAATTTTGTCACAGTGGCAGAAAGCTGTCGAATATACCTCATCTCCCTGCTCATCCATTTTTCCATCAATCCTAGTTCTACTGGCCTTGCAACAGGCTGTCTTTTCTCTGGGCCTTTGCATCTCTGCTAAGATGTCCGACATACTACTTCCTCACTTGGTTAAGTTACCCTCATTTTCTGGATCTGACCTTACACATCAAACCGGGTCAAGTGCTTTCTGTGCATCCTGTCAAAGCCTTGGTTGTGCCACACTGCACTTGCCTGTCTTCCACCTAGCATGCGTGATCTGTGGGAGAAGATCCTGGGCTGTCTCCTTTGCCATAATATTTCCAGCCCTTCCTGTTATACATTCAATTGACTGAAAGTTTTCATAAGGAAGCAGAATCTGAGATATGGGCAGAAATAAATGAAGAGGTAAGATGCTATTTCTTGTGTCAAAAGAAGTTGGGGGCCAGCCTGCACCACTTCTATCTGGAAGACACTGAGTAGGTAATGGTTTTGAAGAGAATAGTGAAATGTCAACCTTTGTATTTAGGTATCACTCTGTAGGCTGAAGCAAATGCTGAAGGTCAAATAGTCACATCTTAAACCAGAGCACAGAGCAGAAAGAAAAAAAGACTGAAGTCCTGGGCTCCACCTCTTAGTTTCTAACTTTAAGAGACAATAGCACAGACAAGACACCAAGCTGTTCATGTAGGGCCCTTTAACATCAAACCATAGCAGGACAGAAGTAAGAAACTTCAAGGAGGTAAAGTCAACAGAGTTGAGTTAGATAGTTGGAGGCAAAAGGGAGATAGAGTGCTACCTAAGATTCTGAAACTGTGAGAGAGTGATAGAGCAGTTGGGAAGAAATTTGGGAAACAAATAATGTGTTTGACAAGACAAAGGAAGATAAGAATGGGAATGTAGGAGCCTGTGAGACTTCTGGAATTCCCAGACAGGAAAGCTCTTGAGACACTGAGGGAGGGTGTAAGGGTAATGGACATTGAATCTGAGCCCACACTGTAGGAACTGCAAGAGAAAGAGCAGAGACAGGAAGGTAGTGAGTAGGAAGGGAGGAGAACAGTGTTGAAGGAACAAGGCTGCAGAGGAGTTCTGGAGTGAGAAGGTGGTAAAATGAAAGCATTCAGTGCTTCAGAGAGACTTAGGGGAATCATAAAATCCAAAGATTATTCACTCTTCTTGGGAAGCCTCTACTGAAAACTCTGCAAATAACTCCAAACTTCTTACTGATTAGTACAAGGGGCTTGGGCTGCTCTTCTTTACATTTTCCTTAGTGTCTAACACATTTGATTTTGCTTCAGCTAGTTCCCATCACATAAGGTATAATTAAGGTTTGGACACATTTCTGGTCATGTCACGTGAGCTGATGTGAATTTGCAATAGGACCACATTCTTTACATTTCTCTAACATTTACTCTCAAAATAAACCAGGAATGTAATGTCCAACAGGCTAGGGAGGATATGAAAACTCAGAAAAATCAGAAAGGAGAGATATTGGGGCAAAAATTTCAGACTAGTGTTAACTCACGTTATTTTAAGGATTTTGCAAAATGATACTTTCCCCTCTAGAAGTAATTAAGCCAGGTGTAGTGGCACATGCCTGTACTCCCACCTACTTGGGTATGAGGCAGAAGGAGCACTTGAGCCAAGGTGTTCAAAGTCAGCCTTAGTGACAACAGTGAGACCCTGTCCCAAAAAGAGATAAAGGGAAAGGAATCAAGATGAGAGGGATGAGCAGGAGCTAGACCTGAATATAAAACAAATGAACTGTAGCAGTGAAAACAGCGGCAAAAAATACAGGCTTTGGTACTCAACAAACCAGAATCCTATGCTACTTACTTAACCCCTCTAAGCCTTGATTTCGCAAGCTTATGTGTTTTGCGAAAATAAATTCAGATCATGTTTGGAAAACACTAAACCCAATGTAAATATTCAACAAAGTTACAACACCCAGAAAGCGTTAGCTATGATTATATTTGTTAGGGAGGATCCATGGCCAGAAGTAAATGATGTGTCCAGTGATTCCTAAGAATAGGAAACAATGCCCCTTGGACATTTCAGGCTGACATGGGAGAAACAGTAAGATGCTTAGAAGGCATTTTTAGGTTAGAAGGCTTAAAAAATGGTAGTAGATTCCAAATAAGAAGAACCTATGATTTTTCTGAGCTCATGGCCATTCAGCAAAAAGTATTCATGGTCTCCAGGTAGCATCTTCTGAATCGAAACAAATCACCCCTGAATAAATCAGCAATGCTCTAGTGGCTGTCCTATAGGTTCAAGGTCAGTAGGTATAGAGGTCTTTTGTATGGAGAAAGTACAATGTTATGAGCAGCTGGGGACCCTTTCGGGCCTCTCAAAATGCCACAATATGAACCAATCTAATCTTTTTTGGGTTTTTATGACTCAACACCAAAAATGTACCTGGCATTAAGCAACAAATTGTCGGAAAGAGTGAATAAACCTAGCTCTCTTTATTAAAACAAAGTAAATACCCATACTCCACATCTAAAAATCTCCATAAATTGATATTTGTATAAGGAAGAAAGATGAAAAAGTCAGTCTTGATTAAATCACGCAATGGCCACAACTTGCAAAATCCAGAGCACAATAAAGCATACAAAAAACACTGGCACATCAACCTCTCTTGTTTTCTCATTATATAGTGTAAGCTGGCTTCAAACTCTTGCTCTTCCTTATCTTAATTACTTCTCATTGCTAGGACAAAATATATGACACCTACAAGTTAGAGGAGAGGCTGATTCTGGCTCACAGCCTGAAGCGGTTTCGGGCTCTAGTCAGCTGGCTCTGAGATGCTGTGGCACAGGAGCCTGGCAGCAGTGGAAAGAAAGCAGGGATCATGGGAGGAGGGAAGGAGCTACAACCTTCTAGGCCGCACCCCCAGTGACCCATCTCCTCTTACCAGGTTTCACCTCCTAACGTCACATTTAGCTGTAAACTCATCAGTGGACTCATCACACACCCGCACTTCAATCATCTCCCAAAAGCCCCACCTATGACAGCGTGAGGCTCTGGGGTGAATCTATATATAAACCTTAACACTCCTGCCTCAACCTCCTTAGCGCCAGGAACACATGCATCTACCACATTAAGCTCTTTTAAGTGAATTAACTATTGATATCTCTTCCCCTCATCTATGAGAAGTGAATTCTTACTTTCCATATTTAAACAAAACTTTAACATGACTACTGGTATATAGGTACGCTCTGCAAATTCATATATGCTAGTTAGCTAACTATACAAAACACTTTTTCTAAAAATTTCAGTGAACCCCATGGAAGACATACCCACACCATACTATATCTCTCTCAATAACAGTGAGATACTTTTCACTTCTTTGTTTTTTTCATATGATGGAACGAAGTGCAGGTGGATATATTTTCAAATAAGCACGTTAAAAAGACTGCAATGCAACTTAGTACATCGGCATATGCTTGCACCAAGGATCATCTTGTACACATAACAAAGGTTTTATAGCTAATAATGGAAGAAAAAAGATACACTAACATTTACTAATAGTCTACTACTCACCAGAGTTATTCCCACATTTGTCTCATATAGTGCTCACAGACATAGTCCATGAAGTGGTATTTTTTTCTTTCTGCAAATGAGGAATTAGGAATGAAGACTGAGTAACTTGTCTAAGGTCATGTAATTACTTAGCAGCCTGAGATTCATATTCCAAATGTGTAAAAAAATATGTCCAGCTCCAAAGCTTGTGTTTTTATCCCAGGCATAAACAACTAAAAAGAGGTGGAGCAGGTTATATAGAACTTCAGAAAGAACATAAGCTCAAATACTAAAATTAAAAGAAGAAAATGAAAGCAAATTTGCTATGCTGTAGCATTTTAAAGCACTTGAAAATATTCCACATTGTTCATTAATACTGTTCTACCACGACCAGTATTTACAATCTCTCCCTGACAAGGAAACACCGGGTTTACTCAAGGAATTAACACCCAATTTCAACTACTTATGTCAAATGTACATGTAGCACCCACAGGTGAAGAGGGTAAGTGAAAAGGATGAGGTTATTTCCAAGAATGGTTCTTCAGGAATTGCTTGATGTCACCTAAGCAGACATCAAATTACATATCTTTTCAAATTACACATATTCTTGTCAGCCTGGGCTACATAGTGAGTTCCAGGGCAGACTCAACTACATAGTGAGACCCTGTCTCAAAAAAAAAAACCAAAAAAGCAAAAAACATATATTCTTGAGATAAAAATGTCAAACTATTTCTGTAATGTAAGATTCTACAAGTAGAGTATTATCTTTATTACATGATCACAGATATAGGTTTTTAAAGCTGTGAACTATAATAAGGATCTTACATCTCCATTAAATTATATACAAACTTTTTCATTACAACTTTAATAAAACAAGCATCAAGAAAAGGGCTGGTTTCTCATCTCTCTCAGGTATGATTGTGGCAACATTTAATTACTTTTAAATTATACTCATACATACCTATTATGAAACATACATAACATAGTCAACTATTATGCCAGCCAGCCATAGTACTAATACATGATTATACTACATTTAGATAGTTACATATAATTTGGAAAAAACAGAAAATTGTGCCTTCAATATATGACTGAAAATGAAAGCACTTAAGCCTTCAGAAAAAGTTTTAGAATTAACAATGCCAAGAAAGCTGTATTATTTGAACTTGCATTGGCAATTTTATTTTAACCCCTAACCAACCTATTTGCAGAGAAGGCACAGGAACAAAGGTAACTGACTACTCAGGTTTCTGTTCATAAGAAAAAGACTAATCTGCAAACAGACTGACTAACCAGCTAGAGAGAGCATGTCAGTGTTAAAGACAAACATTTAAAATTCAAGACAATGAGACACTGGAGACATGACCATTCACTTGGTCCTGAATCCTAGATTTCATTCTGTTGCCTCAATATCTTTATATGGTAAATTCCCTGTTTAAAACTGTCTGCTGAGGAATTTCTGAGTGCACATTCAGAAATTCTGAAACCAGGATTCGGCAATGCTGGTGCTGTTCATAGCCAATGTAAAGCCGGCCACCAAAACACATGGACTTCAATGAAATAATCACACTGATTTCTTTCTATGTTCTCCTGCATGAAGAAAACTACCTACTAACTGTTCTTTCTTTCATGGATGGTCACCAAGTGGATAGTCCTGCCAGTCACACCCACTGAATCCTACTGGGTGTGCATACCTCGGAGCCCACTGCTGAGGACGCCTTACGCAGTTCACAGACACGCTTCAGCACACCTTTATTTCTACCGAAGTTAGGCCAACTTGAGTTAGATCCTTCTTCTTTTTCTTGTCCTCTGGCATTTTGATTGTTACATTCCCAGGGTTTCAATAAATCAGGTCTTTCTTCAGATTCAAAACATAAGAGGAGTGACTTAGCTAG